AAGTTTCCTTTAAGATTCGAATTTCCTTATCGCTTTAAATGTAATAAAAAGGTTAGAAGAAAAAAACGTTATTCTTAACTTTGTGTTATTTGAAAACCAATGTCATAATTAAATGTTATTTATAACACGTATACATAATTTTGTAATATGAGAAGTTTATTCCCTTTTCAATAACCATTTTTTCGCAATTTCTAAAAGCTTTCTTTAAATAAATTCAAAATGGTACCTTTTTAGTGATTAAAAAAATTTCATAAAATTATAAAAACGGCACATTAAATAAACTTAAACAAATTAGCAATTTAGATAAATTGTTATTAGTTTTTTCCCCATTTTAAAGAGAGATATTTCATTAATTTTTAAAAAAAATTTCTATAGTTTACTGTTTTATTTTACTTTATGTTCTACAAATTTTAATAATAATATTAGTAGTTAAATAATTAGTTGTCGCTAATAATAATTTGTATATGTAATCATAGTCATGATTTATTTTATACATAAAAAGATAAAACTTAATTTAATCATAAATGTACTTTCACTCTTTTCATAATTATCACATCATTGCAATATCGGAGATTAAATGCATTGGTCAGACATTTATATAAATGCCAACTATTATGTATAGCTTACAACAGTGATTCTCAACCACTGTGCCGTGGCACTTTTGTGTGCCGCCAAATTCTTAAAATGTGCCGCCAAATATTAGAAATGATACAATAAAAATTATAATGCTTTTTTTTTATTATAAGTAAAGTTTAAATTAAATAAAAATTTATATATATAAACATATATACTTTTTGTAATTTTTCCACACTTTAACCACGTGAACATCTTTGTCGGCGATTGTCTTGTCGTTGACAATAATAAAATAAGATGGAAGTGTTATATGACACACAATTTTAAAAAACTTTATAAGAGCTAATCACTAAAGTAAGCTATGCAATTAATAAACAAATTAACAATGGATAACTTACAAAAATTAAGATAACAATTAATAATTAGCAAAGGAACTAGTTAGCAAGAAATCACAAAAAAATAACAGTTACTGCAAAAAAAAACTAACAGTTAATTACTACAGAAAGCAAGCTAACAATTAATAACTAGCAAAAAATAAATAACT